CTGGGACCTCATGCATGAGTCATAAACTTCACCTGACCTCACCATTTCTGATGTACCACTTGTTTTTTCCTTGCCTGGGTAAAAGGCTCAAATTTATTTCTGCAACAATAGCTACTATAGAAAGTAGGTAGTATATTGTAAGAGAGACATAAGTTGAATGATAAATGCAAAATGTAAATTTAATCTATGAGGTTATATAAAAAATTAACATGCTTTTTTTAAAGATTTATTTTTATTCATGTATGCCTATAAGAGCTGGGGTATAGGCCAGAGTTGCAGAAGGTGAGAGGATTCACCAGAGACAGTGTAAGAAACAGAACAGGGGGATCTACTGAAACATACAGCTGAGGGCAGCAGTGGGGTGACAGGACAGGTCTCCCCAATTGGATCACTTCCCTGGCTAAGATCAAACTCATGCCCCAGTGGCTGGAGATAGCTTAATAATGCCACCAGGAGGGCCTGATCTTCTTTTTAAATAAATAGAAAAATAAATATTTGAAGGAAAAAATGCTTTAAGAGACATATAAGGTTAAAATATTTTAATCTATCACAATATTAAAGATTTCTTGGATTCTACTTCAAAACACTGTCAAATGTCTTGAAATTTAACATTTCAAGATGCCATTAATAAAATTATTATAATTTCCTGATGGTTTGGTAATATATAGAGAGAACTCTTAAAAATAAAACAGAAAACCTAATTAAAGCAACTAACTAGTATAATAAAGTAGCAGGTTAAAAAATCAAATCACAGGGCCTCCCTGGTGGCACAGCTGTTCAGTGATGAGTTCCGAAGCTGCCTGCAGCCTCTGCAGCACTGGTTAGATCCCCGGCTGCTCCCCGGCCACCGGAGGAGGGTCCCACATGGTGCGCAGACCTCTCCTGCCGCCTGCTGCTTCCCTCAGCAGTGTGCTTTGGTCCTTCTGCCTGTTCTGCTCCCCGTTCTGGCTCTGGTGAATTCTCTCACCCTCCCACGCTTCTGACTGTATCCAGTGCTTGTATAATAAATATAAATTAAAAAAAAAATCAAAACACAACAATCAATAGACTTCCTATATGTAAACAATCAGTCTACAGATGAGGAAATTAAATAATTGTGTCATTTATAAATATACCAAAACCAAATTTAAGTGTCTGGGGATAAACCTAACAAAGAAGGGGAGAGGCCTATGCAAGGAAAATTACAAAACAGTATTGAATGAAATAGAAGTAGCACAAAGATATAGAAAGATATTTGCTGCTCATACATGGGAAGAATCAACATTATCAAAATCCTGTCAAAAGCAATTTAAACACAAAATGTAATTCCAATTAAAATCTCAGTGTGTTTCTTCAAAAAGTGGAACAAATATTGCTGAAATTCATATGAAATCACATACACACACACCAAAAAAAAAAAAAAAAAAAAAACTAACTGATAGAGAAAGCTCTAAAAACAGCATAGCACTACAACAAAAACAGACATACAGGTCAATGGAATAGAACTGAAAATCTAGAAGTAAAGTCACACATAAGGGGTCGACTAATCTATGACAAAGGAGCAAAGAATACATGCTGGAACAAGAAACGTCTCTTCAATAAATGCCATTGGAAAAACTGAGCTGTAATACAAAGGAATGAAACTATGCTATTGCCTCATAAAGTATACAAAAATCACCTCAAAATGGATGAAAGAGTTGGATATAAGACTGGACACCAGTGCCTCCCCTGGTGGTGCAGTGGTTGAGTGCTGGGCTGTGAAGCTGCCTGCAGCCTCTGTAGCGCCGGTTTGATCCCCAGCTGCCGGTGAGTGTGCCATGTGGCATGACAGACCTCTCCTGCTGTGCCTACTGCTCCCCTCAGCAGTGTATTTTGTCAGTCTGCCTGCTCTGCTCCCTGCTCTGGCTCTGGTGAATTCTCTCACCCTCCTGCACTTCTGACTATACCCAGTGCTTGTATAAATAAAATAAATCAATTAAAAATAAAAGAAGACTGGACACCATAAAATGTATAGAAAAGGGTGAAACACTCCATGACAATCTTCATCAACATCTTTAAGGATTCTTCTGCAGAAAAAAGGAAAGCAGAGGAGATACACAGCTGGGGCAATATCAAATGTTAATCCAGTCAGCCTAACTGAGCCATAATACTTGAGTTGCGTCTGGTAAATTTGAGGTATGTCTTTGTCTCCTGCTAGAGATATTTGATTTGTGCAGTTGACTTGTGCAGTTGACCTTCCACAATGTAAAAAACCCATACATTGTTGTCTACATAGTTGTGAATTTTATCTAAATTGTTCACTGAAAATAATTATGTTTCTATTGTTTTTTTGGTGTCCCTTGATTTGAATGAGCCCTTGAAGAGAGTCTAGTTATTCTGGTTGAGTATTAAGATACTAAGTGGTACCTATGCTCACTCTTGATGATTTCTGGGGATTCCTAATTACAGTCTTTTTATTCATGTAGGCGCAGGGTCTGCAGATGTGAATTTGGTTCATATCATACAAATCTCAATTATGTATGTAGTACTGGAGCTAAATATTGGGTTCCGAATATAGTAAGTTCACCGTCTAGTGTCTTCTGGGACAAACTCCAGAGCTTTCTTGGAATGAACATTTTAAATCTTGGTCTCCTGATGTTAATGTCAGTCCTTTGTGTGCATCTAGGTTCCCTGCCTTCAGGCAGTTTCTGTGAACTGTTTCTGATATTCTGAGGTGAATGTGTCTGATATTCTGGACTACTGAATATTGTCTGGCATTCCCATTTATTATCTGGAATGCCTGAGCTGAGTTGGGTCCTGAATTAGATCAGGGTTACTTGATGTTGAGCAGTAGTTCAGTGGAGTAGTACATGGGATCATTGAGCTGGGTATTGATGTCCTCAGAAAGGTCAGTGATCTTTACAGTTTGATCAGGGGTTTCTGGTTTATAGTTGGATCCCCAGAGGTGTGTTGCAGTTCTGTTTAGATGAGCTTGGACCCTAATAAGAAACACTCTAGTTCTTAAATAGAGCAATGGGCGATAGTGGGTCAAAGGACACTGCCCAATGGAAGAAAGGTCACTATAGGTTTCCAGCTTCTTTAGAGGCCAGAAACAGATTATGTTAAGCTGGCTCCTACCCAGCCTTAAATCCCCTTCTAGGATTCCTGCCTGATTGAGACATTTTAAATTCTAAGAGAGCATCTGGACTCCTTTAGGACTAATGAACCCATTCTTGATTTTGGAGCCAAATAATTAAGTGATGTGCTGGCTGAACAGGATTGGATCAGTTAGCTTAACCCTGACTGGTCCATTGTATGCTCCAGATACCAAATGTAGAATGAAAACTTGGCGTCTGCACAGATTTGGCCTGCCCTGACCTCAGGATAGTTCATGGGCTTATGGGCCCCCAGGATCCAAGGTCAGAGCCGGCCCCCACGGGGCCGGAGTCTCTGTACCTGGCAGCTTCCCAGTGAGGTCTGCTGTAAAAATGTAAAGGGGTGGGGCTGCAGTAACACTGCAGTGTGGGCTCCACTGAAAGTCCCCTTTATTGACCTGGGAAGGCCTTTCACCTGCCTGCGCCTCCAGGGATCCACAATGCTAGAGCTGGCACAGTGAGGCCTATGTGCCTCCCTGCAGTACTGAACCATATACTGGGCTAGCTGTTGTCTCATATGCCAGAACTCTAGGCACAGGACAAGGTTTACTTTGCCTCTACAGCCTCAGCAGCTCCACTTGGGCTGGCATGGTATGGGACCAGGGGTAGCTGGTCTCTGCCAACACCCTTAACCCAAATGGTAAAATGCCCATCACCCACTGCCACTTATGCTGCTGGCAAGCAGCTTTTGGGTGCCAGATCAGGATAGGATTGGGGAGGTTCTCTGGTGGTGAAACCTGGCCAGCACGCAATAGGTTACCAAGCTCTGCTAATGCCTGGTGGCCTTCCCAGATAGCACTCTGGGAAGCCATTGGGAACTTCCCTCTTGCCTCCATGCTTAACCCTAATTGCATCTTGACTGGAGGTGGGAAAGAGCCAATCTTGCCAAATGCCCATGTTGTGGGGCTCAAGTTTCAGTTCCTGGGGTAATGCTGGGATCCCTGAGCTAAATTTCTGAAGACATTTTTTTTAAGGTTTATTTATTTATTTATACAAACACTGAGTACAGTCAGAAGCCCAGGAGGGTGAGAGAATTCAGCAGAGCCAGGGTAGGGCAGGAAGCCAGGGCAGGGAGCAGAACAGGCAGACAGATGAAATACACTGCTGAGGGGAGCAGTGGGCAGAGCAGGAGAGGTCTGTGTGCCATGTGTGACCCTTGCCAGTGGGTTCGGCCGGGGATTGAACAGGTGTTTCAGAGGCTGTGGGCAGCTTTGTAGCCCAGCGCTCAACCCCTGCACCACCAGGGGACGTCCTCTGAAGACTTTTTTTTTTTTAATGTGTTTATTTGTGCTTACTAGAGCTGGGGTGTAGACCAGAAATGAGAAAATGTGAGATCAGAAAGGTGTAGACCAGAAATGAGAAAAGGTGAGACAGGAAGATCTACTGAAACAAACGGCTGAGGGGAACAGTGGGGAGACCGGAAAGGTCTGTTGCATTATGTGGGTTAGTTCCCTGACTGGGGATGGACTTGGCACTTGCAATGGCTGTGGATAACATCATAATGCTTAGACTTAACCCCTGCACAATCAATGAGGCCCTAGTCTATGAAGATTTAATTGAAATGTCCCAAGGTAAAATTGGGTGTTTAGGAATAACTTGGATCCTTAGATTTGACCATCCTAGATGGGCTCCATTATGTTTCTTCAACTGAGTCTCATTCCCATGTGTTGATTCTCTGTTACTGATGCCAGTTGTAATGAATATTAACTGAATGTTGATTTGCTATGGTATATTTTGGGGAATTCTGAATAAAATGGGGATTCTATTGCTTGTCTGTCCCCTGTGATGGTTCTGACTCCTTGAGTTTTCTCGGTGACAACCTGGCAGATTGTTTGAAGTACCTAATCTAAGTCTAGGTCAATTTAAGAGATCTGGCTCTGGATCCCCTATGCAAGAAACCCACTAAATATTATATGGAATGAACAATTGGATTTCATATGCTGAATATCTTGACTGTGATATCCCTATGTTAGGTCTTGTGTTTCATGAGTTTTTTTTTCTCTGTATGTCATATGGAGGATCCAGACTCCCTGAAGTTTATTTCAGGTCCCTATGACTAATATATTGCTTTACTGGTGAGGTAATTTTAACCATTAAACTTACTATGTGTTATCTGAGACAGGTGAATAGCTTTTTGGGAGGGTCACAGAAAACTGAAGTATTGTATGGCAATGCTATAACTAACTTTAGACTATATGTGAGGAGGGCTCTGGGATCACAAATATGATTTCAGAATTACAGAGCTAAATCCATGACCTCTAAGTTGTATATGGGGAAAATGTGTTTGTGGGGGTTTGCAGATGAACCTAGATGATGATGTGTTCCCTGAGGTAAGTCAGGATCATCTTTCAAAGATTTTGGATGTCTTTGAAGTATATCTGTGGTAACCCAGAATGATGTCTATGGATACCCAAAGTTGAGGCTAGCTTCCAAGAAGAGGGTATGGGATCTTGAAATATGGGTCTAGGGATTCTGATATGACTTTGCCTTGTTCTGTGTGTGTCCATGGTTTTCAGGAAGGATTTAGTTTTGTGGTGGTCTGTACTGTGCATAGGTTCCTTGAGTCTGGTTGTTATCTGGGATTTTATCTTTCAGTTTGGATCCATAATTATGGTTCTTAAGCTCCTTATTGTGGGAATAATTTTTGGAGATGGATGAATTTGTTTTATTCTCTGGTATTGCTTTGGAATATTTCAACTGGGTCTGGATTCACTGAGGTAAGTCTAGATCACTGTATGTAAGAAATCTGTACTGTAGGAAGGTGGATTTGTGGACATAATATCTTTAGATATGTTTGTTCTTTTAAGGTAACTGTGAAAACCCAAAATGAGTTTATGTTCGTTGATTTATATCAGTCTTCTTTGAGGTAGGCCTACCATCTTCTGAGTTACACTTAAGATCTCTTTTATCAGTGTGAGCTTTCTCTGCCAAAGTGATTATTAGTCTCTGTGCAAGTCCCTTGTCTCTTATGTTGCATCTAGAATGACCTGGCGTTGCAATTCTTGCATTATTTGAGTTTGTCCTGTGGTTCCCTGGAATATTGCCTAATGTTCCTGTACTGAGTATAGTTACCTAAGGAACTTGGGTCACTAAGTGGTACACAGAGGGAACTCTTGATTTTATCTGGAAATATGTGAGCAGATTTGGTTCCTCTAAGGAGATTTTAGTGATCAGTGTTGTAATTTATGGGTCTCCTGATTACCTAGAGGAGAACACTTGAATGGGAGTATGTTTCTGGTACCTGAAAGAAATAATAGGATCCCCTAAAGCTTATCAGGTTACTCTAGATGTGTTATTACACTATGTCTCCTAGAATGGCACATGTGAAATAATTGTGGTATTTTCTGGGGATACTTGAACAATCTCACTTCCATGAAGTGGGTCTTTCACTCTTCAGCTACATCTGGATCATCTGAATAGTATGTGGTAGTGTTCTAAATCATGGCTAGAAACTCCTGAAACTTAGTTTGGAAATTCACAAAGGAGTATTGGTCATTCATGTGTATCTGTGATATCTTAAACTTAGTATGTCTCAGAGTGTAATCTCTGGGCTCATCAATGATAGTTCTGATTCATCTGAGCTGACTTAGCATCTTTTAAAGTTATGTGGTTTATTAATTTGTTTGGAGATGGCTAATAATAATGAAATGAGTGAAGGTCCCCTTTGGTGGGTCTAGAACCATTTGTTTTAGTATAAATCACTTTATATATGGATGTTGTTTTGTGGATTTTATCCCATAGTTGGTGCCTGAGAATCTGAGTTTTGTTTTGTTTTTGTTTTTAAAAAGATTTATTTATATATGCATACAATAACCGGAAAACAGGCCAAAGATACAGGGGTGAGAGGATTCACCAGAGACAAAGTGGGGAACAGAACAGGCAGACTGACTGAAATACACTGCTTAGAGGAGCAGCAGGTGAGAAAGGAGGGGACTGCTGTGCTATATGGGTATCTCCCTGGGTGGCGATTGAACTTGTGCTTTAATGTCTATGGATTGCTTCATAGTGCTGAGACTCAACTGCTTGCACATCAGGGAGTCCTACCTAAAGTGAATTTTAGATGCTCTAAAGTGGTTATAATAAGGTGATCTGTGACTCAGAGAATAATTTGTAATTTTTGAATGACAGCATGGATTTTTCTAAGTTATTGTCTGACAATGTTATTAAGCTGAGCCTGGAGTTCTTAACATCAGGGTCTTCTGATAACATCTTGGGATTCTTAAGCATTACTAGATTCATATGAGCTATTCTGGGATTCATCTAGTTGTTTTGGATTAAGAGATTACTTTTTTGCCCCCTAAACTCAGTTTCAATAACCTAAATTTTTTCTGTGTTCTCCTAAGTTGCATCTGGGTCTTTAGAATTAGAGTTTTCTGATATGGATTTATGTTTCTTTGAGCTTGGTCTGTGCTATTCCATTATATCTGGGAGGAAATTTTTAGCTTCTTTGGAATTCCAGATGACTCTGAGCCTCTTGAGGTAAGTGTGCATTCTTTGAATTGAATTTGAAATATCATTTTCTGACTGTGGTACTGTTGAGGTATTATTTGTATTGTGTGAGAAAAGTTCCAATCTGGCAGGTAGTTCTTGTAAAACTATGGGGTCTCCCAGAATTTGGCCAGGTTCCATGTGGAAGGTAGAGTATGATCCTCTGAGCTAAGTCTGGACTCTTTGAGGTATGTCTGAATTTTCCTACTCTGCATTTTCCCTACTGGTATTGTTTGGGAATAGTTGGCCTAGGTCAGGGTGCTTACTGAGTCAATGTTGTGTGAAAGTGAAAAATAACCTGATTGTAACTCAGTTTCCTAATATTTCACTTCATCACTGTTTTTTTTGGCAATACAATCTAGGCATCAGTCTCCCACAAGATTACCTTGGTGAGGTCTGTAGGCACTGTACCTATAATCCACAAAAGCAACATTAACTGTAACAGAATGCAACTGATACATGAATACAACTAAGCCCAGTTCACTAAGGCTTTAGGGTACATCATGCTGGGGTAAAAAGATAAGAGTTGTTGGCACCTGCAATGGGAGCTCTCTCCATCTGGCACTCACTATACAAGCCAATTTTTTTGTCAATGGACAATGCTGCAGCTGGCAATAGTGTCCCCCCTGGTATTGAGCAGACACACACTTTGCCAGTGAAGAGACATCACAAGGTTTTACATGCAAGAAGAGTGGTGAGCTCATACTATGTCACAAAGTAAACATGAATGTTCCCTTATGATTGTCCTCTGGTCTGCCACCCCAGGGGGGATAACACACACCCTTGGGTTGGGGGCTGTTGCCATTGACCCAGGATTTTTTTTTACAGGATTGTAACCAGGGGCTGATGCTAAATGATGTTATATCTGGTATTCCCTGAGGGTGACCCAGATGAGAATGGATAAATCCAGGGCCTCCCCGGTGGCGCAGTGGTTGAGCGCTGGGTTGCGAAGCTGCCCACAGCCTCTGCGGTGCCGGTTCGATCCCTGGCTGCTCCCTGGCCACAGGAGGAGGGTCCCACATGGCGCGCAGACCTCTCTTGCCGCCCGCTGCTCCCCTCAGCAGTGTACTCGGTCCTTCTGCCTGCTCTGCTCCCCGCTATGGCTCTGGTGAATTCTCTCACCCTCCCACGCTTCTGACTGTACCCAGTGCTTGTATAAATACAAACAAACAAACAAACAAACAAATAAATAAATAAATAAATAAATAAAACTTCAGTCCTTTAAAAAAAAAAAAAAAAGAATGGATAGATCCAGATGAAATACAAAGTATTGGTGGAAGCTGAGACTCTGATAGGAAATGTAATGGATTGTGGAAACAGACCCCCAGAATCAGCGTCTTAGGAGATTATTCAGAATTTTTGGATTTAATCATTTTCCAGAATCTGGCAACTTTGGTGTCATCCATTCCTGCTCCCACCACTCCAGAAGGCTATTGCAGGCCTCTCCAGGGGCTTCCAACAGTCAACCTTAGGGGAAAAAAAAAAAAAAAACTCAGAGAAGGAAAGTTGAGATATTTAGCTGAGTATAAGCAATTTGAAAATTATTCCCAGTTTTGCTGCTGTATATCCCAGAGGGGAAGGCAAAAGACCTGGAGCCAGGCACCTCACTGAGCTGCATGAGTGTGGGTCACTTGTGGGTGGTTCAACTGTTGCAGCAGCTGTTTCCAGTGTTCTTGTTATGTATTGTGCCGGGGCATCTTGGCAGCTCCATTGGACATTTCCTGTTGTGTCTTCTGCTGTTGTCATAAATTGGATCACAGCCTGTTACCTAGCTGCCAGGTGCTCCAGGTCTCAGTAGCAGGAAGACGCTATCTAAGATACCTTTTGTTTAGGATTTCAAAAATCTGGACTGCTGCAGAGGGCCTTGATGCCCCAGCCAGATAAGACACTGGCAAGCAGCTAAGAAAAGGGCCTCACACCTTGGGGCCAAAGCTCAAAGAACATCACACCATGGGGCCAAAGCTTAAAGAGCCTTACATTGTGAGGCTAAAGATTTAACATCTCTTTGTTTTTTGTTCTTGGTCATATAAGAAAAAAAACTTCCTGGAAAATATATTGGGCAATAAGATATCTGTATAAGAATATTATAAGCACATGACACGGAAAATTACCTACTTGAAAATTAAACACCGTAAATTTGGCCTGCCTGACAATGGGAAAGAGTTGTTATACATGAACATGCCTGACAAGCAATCCAGGACAACAATTATAGTAAGTCCTTCTTTTGCTTTTTTAAAAGTTTCTTAGGAAAGTTTTTAAATGAAGTTAAAAGGAGTTTCTAAGGAAAAGTTAAAAGGAAAAGTTTAACTTTTAACTTTTCTAAGGAAAAGTTAAAAAGTTAAAAGTTAAAAGTTTCTAAGTTAAAAGGAAAAGTTCTTATAGCTGAGAAGCAGCTGGTTTCCAGCTGAAAGCCATATGAATAAAAGAGTCTTTTGATGCTTAGGCGTTAGCTGATAGGGGTCTACTGGCGGCTATCAACTGTTTGAGGAAATTGTTTAACTGAAATAATAAGTTTTAGTGCAAGACTTAATTTTTTATCTATTAACCTTAAAGGTTGCTTTCTTGCGGAAGGCACATAGCAACAAAAAAAAAAAAAAAACTAAGGTATACACTGATTGTTTCTGCTTTGTTTCTATGCACATGATGATGGCATCTCACTGCTTGCTAAAAATGTATAAAGTAAGGACCTGCTGAGCCCCTCAGTAGGAGCAGTAGGAGATACTTGTACCAAAAAGAAGAGTGCATATCTGCCTTATTCCCTTTCCTTTCCTTAACGTGTTGCCTAGTTCATCTCATCCTTTCAGGAACCCCTGACACAACATTTTGCAGAGACTGACCATCAGCACTGGACACTGCTTTGGACAAGGTAAATGGCCATTGTGTCATCAGTGACTCTTTGTAAACTGGTCTTGACTCTCTGTTACTAAATAATGGAAAAGAAAGTGTTAGCCAGTACCTACAAAGAGATATGTGCCCAGCTCAAGGCTCAGACAATACATCACATCTGCCACTGTGGGCACTGGGGCATACAAAGGGGAGCCATTTTATTCAACTCTCTGTGATCCATTTTCTTACACCACAGGTTGTCAGGTTTCCTCACTGCCACACAGGTGAATTATAGGGACTGTGAGAAGCACACACAATGCTACTGTGCCCATAATCCCTCCATGGCCACTTAGCAATCAATACTGTTTATTATCGGTCACTTACCTAGGGACTGGTAGTTGTGTGGGTGGATGCAGAACATTTCCACACACCACTCCTTCACCACACATTCCCTATAACTAAACTCTCTTGCTGTGGTCTCTAGCCACAGCCACATAGCATATCCACTCCCAAGAAGTACTCTGGGAATGTTGTCATGTAAACATGGAGAAAATCACCCATTCCCCAGCATAGTCTCACTGTTGTCACCTTGACACTCTGGCCTCCACAGCCATCAGTGTAAAAAGTAGACCTCTGGAACTTCTCTGTGTTCCAAGATAGCAGAGTAACAATGTTCCCAAATCTACTAAGGCCAAAATCTTTGCACATGGGTTTGGACCTGTGTGGCCTCTAGACCTCACCTGACCCCTTGGCCCTCATCCTATTCAAAAAACAAACAGGACCTCCCCCTGGGCCAGTGTTGGCAGCAGATGGTCCGGGGCCCTTCTGGTGGTTTATCTAGTCTGTCCTTTTCTTTCTTTCAGATTCTACATTTTATTTTTTTAAAGATTGATTTATTGATTGATTGATTTATACAAGCACTGGGTATAGTCAGAAGCACTGGAGGGTGAGAGAATTCACCATAGCCAGAGGAGGGTGAGAAAATTCAAAGGATCCAGAGCCAGAGCAGGTAACAGAACAGCAGACTGATGAAATACACTGTTGAGGGGAGCAGCGGGCAGAGCAGGAGAGGTCTGTTGCACTATGTGGGACACTCGCGAGTGGGGGTAGCCAGGTATCGAACCTGTGCTGCAGAGGTTGCAGGCAGCTTCGCAGCCAAGCGCTCAACCACTGTGCCACCAGGGGAGGACGCAGACTCTACATTTTAATTCTGCCACTTGGTTGAACTAATTTTTTAAATATTTATTTATTTATGCATACAAGAACTGGGATACAGGCCAGAGGTGCAAGGGGTAAGAGGTTTCCCTAGAGACAGAATAGGGAACAGAACAGGCAGGCAAACTGAAATACACAGCTAAGGGGAGCAGCAGGTAAGACAGGAACTCTCTGCTGTGCCATGTGGGTTGCTCAAACTCATGCTGCAGTGGCTGTGGATAGATTCACATTGATATGCTTAACGCCTTGCACCACCAGGGAGGCCCCTGGTTGAACTATTTAAACTACTCTTGAGAATTTCTTTGGCCCTGTTCTTAAAATTTTCTAATAAGCTTAAAAATATTCCTCCCGAATGTATTAAAAAATGTTAGTATGATATCAAGGTTAAACACAGCACTATGAAGTTTCTGCAGCCTCTGCAGCATGAGTTTGATCCCCAGCTGGCCAGGGAGCTATGCACATGGTGCAACAGAACTCTCCTGACTCCCCTGATTCTCCCCTTAGCAGTGTATTTCAATCATTCTGCCTGTTTTATTCCCCACTCTGTCTCTGGTGGCCTGTACACCAGTTATGGTATGCATAAATAAATAAATCTTAGGAAAAAATGTTATTATACTATTTTACATATTTTAGTTTATGATAAAAGTGAATGTAATTGTTTATATATAATAATTGCTACTTGATTAATAATTTTGATTAACTATTTGATTAATAATATTCTCCTTTCATATATTTTTATTTTTAAAAAATATATTATTTGTTATTATACAGCACTATATATGATTTAAGTTTATACTGACTCAGATGTATGTGATTTATTATTTTGTGTACAGTGAATTATTTATGAAAATGTTTTGTATTTGAATATCACCATGTAATATATACAAGATCATGCTGTTTATTATTCTAGGGGAAAATATCCATCCCCAAGAAGGATAGTAAACAAGTTCAGTTTTTAACGTTGGCCAAGTTTCTTACATATATATCTCTAGTTCGTTGATCATACAAAAAGAAGGTAGTTATCTCATAAGTGTTTGTGATGTAATACATTCCATACTCTAGAATTTTAATCTCAACCTTGGTAACTACTCTGAAAGAAACCTATTTTGCATTGGCATCTACTTGAGCCAACATGAGAGCTCTACTTTTCTTCTACCAATTTTGGGCACTGATCCTTTACTGCTGTGGTGGTATGCTATTGATATGTGGAATTCCTTCTCCTTTGTTTGTCTTCATGTTAAGGGAGGTGTTTTGTTCCTCCTTAATCTTTTAATTTTTTTCTTTTTTTATTCCTTCATCCTCATCTCACTTTCTATTTCTATTCATGTTTTTCTTCAATTAACCATACATTTCTGACAAGTTTCCTTTATCCATTCTTCTCCATACTTTCCTATCTTAAAATAATGAATTATGCAAAAATAACTCAATACTTCAAGATTTTCATGTTATGTTTACTTCTTTTCTTTCTTCTCTGATTCTTTTAGCACCTAATTCACAAAAGCAGTGGTTAAACTCATTGAAACCAATGATTGACCCACTGTTTGTGCCCAATGACTTCCCATGGCTAGTGTCCATGTCTGAAACCTGTCAGGGTATTATTCTGAGTCGGTGGTGGATCCTTTCTACAGCCAACTGTCTAACTAAACTGTAAGTAAAGTTAAAGCTGTGAGAAATTGATCAGTTATGTATGGTTATTGTATTTGTTCACCACGATTGATTATTTGAATTGAAATTTGATGTGCCAGTGACACAGTCTTCTTTGGAAATATTACTTATTGATGTTATTGATAATAATATGAAAAATTAAATTTGAAGTTCAAAAATGTAGTATTCAATATATAATATAGGAACTTTCAATTTGTGTGTGTGTGTGTGTGTGTGTGTGTGAATTAGGGTGTAGTCCAAAGGAAGTGGTGGTGAGAGGGTTCACTAAAGAAACAATGTAGTGCAAAAGGGGCAGAGTTACTGAAATACACTGGAAATGGGAGCAAAGAGCAAAACAGGAGATGTCTGTTGCACCATATCTGGGGTATTTCCCTGGTCAGGATCAAAGTCAGGCCATAGATGTGATAGTATTCAGACTTAATCTTAGGCTGGAGGGAGGCCCTAGAGAGCATCAATTTAAAATGATAAAATGATATAAATTTACTAATTTGTTTCACAAGTAAGTCAAACTTCTGTGTTTCCCTCTATGACTTGTCACACAAATAGGAATTATAAATAAAAATAGGGAATGATATGTACTGAAAAAATAATAATAAAATTATATAAATTAGAAATCTTAAATTGTTAAGTAAATAAAGGTATTACCTTGGCAAATATCTCAACTTAAGTAGAAGTTTAATAAAATGATTTTCTCATGCTAATTTTATTATGTTATCCATTTTTATTCCCTTAGAAAACATTTGCAATCTGACACCACAGGAGTTGTTAACCAGGAAAATATTTTACTTGGCTATAAGATATGTCTACACCCCAATTTTGACCCGCAAGTTGGAACAAATCCATTCCAAGGAGACATAGGGTTGGTCCTTCTGAAATACCCTGTCAGGAGTGAAGAAATACCACTTTCTCACACTTATAATATCTTCCGGAAGAGGTGTTATAATTGCCAATACAGACACTGCAGAGTATATCAATATCAGAGTAAGCCATGAAATCATGTTCTACTATATCATAAATTTAGTTCAAATATTGTTGTAAAAATTATTTGGATTTTTTTTAAATCCCATAATTAAATTGATGCTAGTCTAAAGGAATAAAAACCGAGTCTCAAGGTAAAAGTGACAGCATGTTAAAATTATCATGCATTTATTATTCCACTGAAGGGGAATTAAGGAATATCTAAAATAGTAATTTGTACATATGTGTACACCCCAAGAATTCCATATAATTAAATAATTGAATGCTATAGTTTACTGATCTTAGGGTGTTAGGCTATCACATGATTATAAGACTAATAATCCATATCTTACAATATTTTCCATCTCTATTTGTTTAGATCATGATAAATTTGCAACCAATATCAGGAAGTTGTCAGTTAAGCTACTGGACCTCTCATTCTGCCACCGTCAACATATCCACCTGACTAAAAGTAACATCTTATGCATTTGGATTCAGCCACAGGAAGATTGTTGGGTATTTATTATATAAGGGTCTAGTTATTTGGGGAGATGGAAAAATTATGTAAAATACTATAAAGAGAATATAAAGTTTCAAATATATAAGATATGTAAGTTTTAGAGATCTTCTTAACAAAATAGTTTATACAATTAACAACTTTATAGTGTACACTTAAATTTTTAAGATGGCAGCAATCAAGTTTTGTTCTTATGAAAATAAAATGTAAAAAAGAAGCATATAGACAGTTATTGAACTCACAAAGCAGCTATATTTTCGATGAGAAATAATTGTACCTATACATGTACACACATTGTTAGAATAGAAATAAAATTCAATTAAACAGGTAAATAGACAAGAAAAAGAATAAACTAAACAAATACAAACTTATTAAAAAGTAAAGTCAGGGCCTCCCTGGTGGTGCAGGTGGTTCAGCGCAGCACTGTAAAGCTGTCCTCAGCCTCTGCAGTGCAGGTTCGGTCCCCACCAGCCACCGAGATACCCACATGGTATGACAGACCTTTGCTGCGTTACCCACTGCTCCCCTCAGCAGTGTGTTTTTGTCTGTCTGCCTGTTCTGTTTCCCGCTCTCTCTGGTGAATCCTCTCACTTTCCTCTACATCTCGCTTGTACCCCGGTTCTTGTATAAAAATAAATAAATCATTAAAATAAAGTAAAGTCAACTTTACAAAGTAAAATAGTTATTTATTTATCCCAGTAACATGAAATTATCTATTATGAGGCTAAAAAATTAATGCATATTTGGCCCTGAAACACATATCTAAAATATTTTTTTAAAGAATATCATGGTTCATTTCCTAAAGACTTCTCATGTTGTAATTTTAGGGAGTAATGCATAGTTTACAAGACATATAAAATTCAGTAAGGTAAAAGTAAGTAGAAATAGGGCCTCCCTGGTGGTTCAAGGTGTTAAGATGCAGCCCATGATGCTATTGGTGGCCACTGCAGCACGAGTTCCATCTCCAGCCAGGGAGCTACCCACAGGCAGAAGCAAAACTCTCCTGTTTCACCCGCTGCTCCCCTCAGCAGTGTATTTCAGTCAATTTGCCGATTCTGTTGCCCACTCAGTATCTGGTGAATCCTTTCACCACCCCACACCTCTGGCTTTACCCCAGTTCTTGTATGCATAAATAAATCAATCTTTATTTTTAATTAATTTATTTATTTTACACAAGAACTGGCTAGATGTACAGGAGGGTGAGAGACAGAGCGGGGGACTGAACAGTAAGACTGAGGAAATGTGCTGCTGAGGGGAGCCGCAGGCATATCAAGAGAGGTCTGCTGCGCCATGTCAGACACTTGTGGGCTGGCTGGGATCTATCCAGCGCTGCAGATGCTACAGGCAGCTTCACAGCATGACACTCAACTGCCTGCGCAACCAGTGAAGGCCCAATTTAAAAAAAAAATGTTTAAAAAAAAGTAACTAGAAATAAATTTAAGCAAAAAAGTTAAGAAATGCAAATGTAAAAATATAATTTTGGTATGGAAGACGTAATTGATGAAGAGGGAATATGATGAGATTACATTAACAACATATTATTAGAACTTTGCAAAATTGGAATAGTAAAAGAAAAAGCAGTTTTGGAACAAATATTTAAGAAATTTGAAATTAAAGGAGACAGAGCAACAACACAAACCACAGACCTTAATTTGATAGGTTACAAAGAGAAAATAGGGCTGGTTCTAGCTTTTAGAAGTTCTAGTATGAAGTCAGTAATCAGGAATCTTGTGAACTGATAGGCACAAAATTGAGTGTACAACATACTGTAGTAATTTCTTGTGATTCAATATTGCCAATATTATAGAAATTTGTAAAGTGAGTCATAGATCTACAATGAAAAAATGGGGAAACACACACACACATACATATATATATATATATATATATATATATATATATATATATATATTAAGAGAGAGCGATAAAGAGAGCCTAGATAAAGGAGATGCTTAATAGAATTTTTGAAGAAAATATTTTTCACTATAGAGATAAAGCAAATGAACAGATAATATTTGAATGTTGAATGTTCTTTGGAAAATGTTAAAAGACATACAGAAGACATGAAAACAGAATGAGCTGGGACCATGTTATAAAATTATGATATATAGACTTCATTATTTAAGCAATATGAGTCACAAAAAAAGTTAAGGCAAAATGTGTCATTTTTGAAGAAAAACATTTTCTATTCTGGAAAATTGTATAGAAGATGATATTAAAATTAATGAGATTGATTTATTAATCTATTCAACAGTCTTTCAAAGGAACTTTACATTAACTTCATAATATTTCTGGCAAGTTATACAAGAAAATGAGGACTCATTGAATCAATTAAATATTGAGTTTTCTGTGCTAAGTTTTAGTAATATGAAAAGTTACAGTGGGATCTCCCTGGTGGCACAAGGGGTTCAGCACCACACTATGAAGTAATCCACATTCTCTGCAGCACAAGTTTCATCCCCAGCTGGTCAGGGAGAAACCCACATGGCGTGGCAGATCTCTCCTGCCTCACCCACTGCTCCCCTTAGCAGTGCATTTCAGTCAGTCTGCCTGTTCTATTCCCTACTCTATCTCTGGTGGATCCTCTCACCCCCTGCATTTCTGAACTGTACCCCAGTTCTTGTATGAAGGAATAAATAAATCTTAAAAAAAAAGCTTATAGGGCCTCCCTGGCAATGCAGGGGTTAAGTCTCAGCACTATAAAACTATCACCAGCCACTGCAACCAAGGAGCTAACCCACATGGCACAGCATACCTTTCCTGCCTTGCCTGCTGTTCCCCTCAGTAGTGTATTCCAGTCAATCTGTCTGTTCTGCTTCCCACTCTGTCTTTGGCGAATCCTCCTAAACCCCCCCCACACCTCTGGCCTGTACCCCAGTACTTGTATACATAAATGCATCTTCAAAAAATGACCTTTTTTTCTGAGTTAGAAACAAGCAAGTTTGAATAAAAGAAAAAGTGTTAAGAGTAAACTTAGACACTACTAAAGCCTATACAAGAAAGGAAGGAGGGAGAAAAGAAGAAATAATGATGGAATGAAAACAAGAGTATGAAAACAATAAAACAGGAAATAATGATTGTTGAAACATAGATTACTAAATAATCAGTATATATGACTGAACCAATTGTACTTTGTCTGTCTGGAAATACTCAGCTAGGGAGATAGGTAGTATCCAAGTAAAGACGTTGAATTATGTATTGTATATTTTGGAGTATGGAGTTTCTCCAAAATTTCCTCTATCATTTGATTTCCTCTTATAAGCAACCAAAATTATAATTATGTGTGCTTAAGTCGCAATCTGGAGTTTCTTGAAGTGTGTACCATAAAACATTGCTATTCACCATGTCATATGAAACTTAAATATGTAAGGTTATATATTTAATCTATTCATAAATGGTATTTGGTACATAAATTTGTTATTTATAAACATATACACATCAATTTGTTTATAATTCACATATGTATTATATATAATATGCAATTTGCATGTTGCATATACTTTAGCATATGCATATTATATATATTTCATATACATATCAATTATCTTTGTTTCCTCATTCAGGTACAACAGGGTAGTCCTGTTCTTTGTTTCTTTGGCACCCACTGGGAAATAGTAGGCCTTGTCAATGAATCTTCAGTGGCCTGTAATGACCCTGTTGTTGTCATCAAGACAGCACCATATCGATCTTGGATGAGATGGCTTATGAAGGCTTCCCAGAAGCCATCGGATCCTATTTTATCCCTATCATGCAGTTATTTTCCTGGGGTAAAAAGTGGAACACAAGACAGGCTTAGCCTGAACAGAATTCCTGCCATTTTAACATCTCATGGATTATCCATACAACCATGGAAAGGAAGATTAGGGACGTTCCCACTGGTTAGACAGCACCGAAATCCTCCACCGGTATTTTTTGGTTCAAATAATAGAAAGACTTTTCCTGGCAGCACACAGTTATATCTTCAAAATAGTCAGATCTCCACATCTAACAAATTCCCATGGACCTCCATTGTTGCTAGACTCTGGGATACTTTGGATATAACTGAACCCTGGAGTAGTTCAGGAACTGGCAGTTTTGAACCTTTGGTTCTTTCTGGCCCCCAAAAAATTTCATCAGCTGATATATCTATACCATGGGGCTTTCCTCAAAAAGATGTGATAAAATATCAACATCAAACTGTGACTGAATCGGTTAAACCTCTAGTTGGTATAATTGGGTTTCATACCTTACCATTACTTAATGCTGGTGGATCTTGGGTACTGTTTTCAACTGACATAGATGCATCCCAACTTCATTCTGAGATTAAAACTGCCCAGTCACAAATTACTAGATTTAGTAATCTCCCATTCCACAGTCAACTGCCAGCAAAACCCTGGCTAGAAATTACCCCTAATGTTGGATCCTGGATACATTTTATGCCTGATAAAACAGTAATTCATATGCAGTCTAGTGAAGAGAGTGTTATAACCCAAACATATGATGCAACTGAGAGAGTTAACTCTATTTTTAAACCAGTAACCTACAGTCTGCATTCAGGGGTACCTTTAATAGCTAATAAAATTGAGTTTTGGACTCATTCCACATTAAACACAGAAGGATTGCAATACCCTACAGCAGCCCATACCTTGGAAACCTGGTTTCAGCCAATCTTAAATACAATTGGAGCTCAAGGATCTATAAAGAGGACAAACAAATACTGGATTCTTCCTGAATCTATGTCGACTCAATTTTCGACTTCCTCAGCACTTTACGTGCCATTTACTTGGGTTCCACCTGCCTACAATAGTATTAGTTCTTGGGCCCAATATAAGGTCAGCATGATCAGATCTTCAAATCAAATGGAAAGCATCACTCCATTGAGTAAACATAAGCCTTTTATATTCAAACCCCAGATGCAGACTGAATATGCACCCTGGCTCTTAATTAATACAATTAAGCCTTTCATTCATTCTAAAATTGATACAGTTGGACCCTGGATTCAATCTGAAACTGAAATAGTTAGGCCATTAGCTCAGTCTGATACTGGCAGCAAACAACTATGGACAAACCCTGGAGCTTCAATATTTAGACACTGGACACAATCTAAACTTAATTTGGTCATGCCATTCACAAAACCTGATGTTGATACAGTCAGACTTTGGTTACAGAGGCAAACTGATACAATTAGAACCTGGAGTCAACCTGAATCTCAAAAAATAAATTCTTGGTCTAGGTCAGAAGCAGAGAGAGTAAAATTTTGGCATGATAGCCAGATGGACACATTTAAACCTTGGGTGGAAACAGAACTTCAAAGAGCCAACACCTGGTCTCAATTTGAAGGAGATGTACCTAGAGCTTGGACTAAGTCTGAGGCTAATAATGTCAAACTTTGGTTCCAGAAACAAATGGAAACAGTCACACTTTTGACAGAGCTAATAACCCAAACTGCCTACCACTGGATACAGTCTGAAACAGAAATAGTCAGGCCCTGGAGCCAATCTGCATCTGATAAGGTAAGAATGTGGACACAACATGAAGCTTACACAATCAGGCCAACTTGGGACGAATATGATGGTGATAATGATAGATTATGGACACCACTTGAAGCTGTCACAATAAGACACTCAATTCAGTCAGATGATAGTATAATTATCCCATCGGTACAAAATGAGGCTGGTACATTAATATCATATACTCAGACTGAATCTCCAGAGGTAAATTCCTGGACACAAACAGAAACAGAGACAGCCACATTGTTGACCCAGGGTGAAAAACAGCAGTAAAGCTTTGGTTAGAAATAGTAACTGAGACTATTACAACATGGGCAGAGTCTCAATTTTCAGAACTTAATTCCTCGAAACTTTCTGTATCTAATATAGTTACTCTATGGACTCAGACTGAATCCCCTGTTCTAAATCTCTGGCCGCAACCTGTAGCTGATACATTTGTACCAGGGGTCAAGGATATACCTTCAGAAATGAACCCCTGGTCAAAAACTATACCTAATACAATCACAACATGGACCCAGCCTGAATCTATAGCAATAAATACCTGGAGTCAGTCTGAAAGTGATACAGTTATACCGTGGCCCCAGCCTGAGTCTGTAGCAATAAATCCTTGGACACAGTCAATAGCTGATACAGTAACACAGTGGATTCAAGAGGAATCTGCAGAAATAATTCCATGGACGAAAATTGTTTCTGACCAAATTTTACCATGGACACAGACTGAAACACCAGTAAATCACTGGCTACAGTCTGAAATGGATAAACTGTATCAGACCAGCCTCAGCCTGGGTCCATCCCCAACAGAACCTCTCTGGATTGAAACTTTATCTGGTACAGATACACAATGGTCCCAAGCAGATTCTCTAGTTGTCATTTCACAGACACAAATTCTAACTGATACAGTCACACTGTATATGCAGGCTGAGACTCCATCATTCCATTCCAGGACAATGTCTGAAACTGATACAGTCACAACATGGACCTCAGCAGAATCTTTAGCTGTAAGTTCTTTGAAAGAATGTGAAACCGAGAGTGTTTCTACCTGGGTCAAGAAAGGATATCCAAATGTAAATTTCTGGACACAACCTGAAAATGACACGGTCACATCATGGGCCCAGGTAGAAACTCCAGGAATAAATTCCTTCACACATTCAGTAGTTGACATGGTCCCACCATGGACCCAGTCTGAATCTTCAGTAGTAAATCTGTGGACACAATATGTAGTTGATGTGGATACACTCTGGATGCAAACTGGTTCCCCAGCAGTAAATCCCTGGACAAAGTCTGTATCTGATGGTGGTGTACAGTGGACACAGAATGAACGTGAAGCAGTAAGTCAGTGGACACAGACTGCATCTGATAAGGTAATATCTTTTGCTCAGGCTGAATTTCCTATAGTAGAGTCCTTGACAAATACTGTAACTGACATAGTCACACCGTGGACTGAAGTTGAATCTTCAGCAGTAAATCCTGGGACAGAGGTTACAGCTGATGCAGTGACACCTTCGAACCAGCCAATATATCCTTCAGTAACTCCTTGGGCAACACGTGAAACTGACATTCTCTGGACCCATGCAAATTCTGATATAATAAATCTCTTCACAGAGACTGTATTTCATACACTTATATTGTGGACTCAAGGAGTTATATTAAATCCCTGGGCACAGCTTGAAACTGATATAGTCACACCATGGACCCAACCTGAATCTCCACCAATAAGTTCCTGGGCCTGGTCAAAAACTAATCCAGTCACATCATGGTCTGAGAATAAATATGCAGTATTAAATCCATGGACACAGATTGAAGCTAACACATTTGCACCATGGTCTCAGCCTGAATTTGGAGCAGTAAATTCCTGGATACATCTTGAAAATGACATAGTGACAACATTTATTCAGGGTGAATCACAAGTATTAAATCATTCACCAATGGTTGTAGCTGATGCAATGAGAGCATGGACCCAGGTTGACTCTACTACAGTGAATCCTGGGATGCAGGCTGATAATGACAAAGTCACACTGTGGACCAAGAGTGAAAGTCTAGCTACATATCACTTACCTATATCTGTAACAGATACAGTTACAGTGTGGAACATGGCAGCAATTATATCAGTAAAGTCTTGGCCACATTCTGTTACCGAAACTGGCACACAGTGGACCCAAAATGAATCTCCCTTAGTATATCCCTTGACACAATCTATAATGAATTCAGTCACACTGATTACCCATACAATTAATCTAGCAATAATTCCTGGAATGAACCTTAGTGCTACTGCAGTCAAACCATGGACCCAGGTGGAATCTGCAAAAGAGAATGGATGGACTGTTTCTGAAACAGGCATACCATGGACCATGGAGAGTTCCCCAATAATAAAGCACATGATGGAGACTCTATCTAATACAAACATAACAAGAATCAAATCTGAATTTTCAGAAATAAAAATTTGGACATCACCAGGGGCAAGAACAGACCCACTATGGACTCAAGCTGAATCTCCAACAGTAAATCCCTGGACACAGTCTCAAGTTCATATAGTTACAAAATGGACACACATTGACCCTCCAACAAACATTTTGACTCAGGCTAAATTTGCTGCAATTAATATGTGGACACAGTCTGAATTACCAACAATAATTACTTTCACAGAGTCCAGATTACCAGCCATATATCCATCAATACAGATCGAGGGTACAGTTACATCATCAATGAGGGCTGAATTTCTAGCAATAAATCCTTGGACAGAGATTACAGCTACCACAGTTACACTGTGGATTCAAGCTGAATATCCAATAGTAAATCCATGGACAGTCTCTGAAAATGATACAGCTAAACGGGGAATAGTGGCAGAATCTCCATCAAGTTTCTTGACAAAATCTGAACAACATAGGAAACCACTTTGGACACAGACTGAATCTCCGATAAATCCAATGATGCAGGATATAGCTAATATATTCACAATGTGGACCAAGACTGAATCTCTAGCATTAAATCCCTGGACAAAGAATATAGAAGATACATTCACAGTGCAAACTCTGAATAAATCCCCAACAGAAAATTACTGGACAGATACATTAGCTTCTACACTATGGACTCATTATGAATCTCCGACATTAAACCCATGGACACAGGCTGTAACATCTACATTCACACAATGGAATCAGGTTGAATCGCCAACAGTAAATTCCCAGGAAGAGACTTTAGTTTCCACATTTGCACCATGGATTCAATTTGAATCACCAAGAGTTAATTCCCAACCAGGAAATATAGTTTCCACAATGGCATGGTTGAATCAGGATGAATCTCCAATAACAATTCCTTGTACAGAGGCTGTCATTTCCAGAGTCACATTATGGATCCAAGAATCTGCAGTAGGAAATTCCTGCCCACAGACTATAGCCTCTATAACAACATTGCACACAGAAATCCCCTGGTCAGATATTATAGATGCCACAGTTACAACATGGAATAAAACAGAGTCTTTAGCAGATAAAGTAGCATCCATAGTCACAATATGGTCTCAAGATGAATCTCCAGCAGTAAATCCCAGAACATACAATTTAGTTTCCACAGATGCACCATGGAACAAGGTAAAATATGTAACAATAAATTACTGGACATTGGACCCATCTTCCACAGTCATACCATGGATTCAGACTGAATTTCCTGCACTAAAGATATGGACACAGACTTTATTTTCTACTATATTGTCATGGACTCAGGATGAATTTCCAGCTAATTCTTTGACAGACACAGTAGTATCCATAGTTATACCATGGAATCATGCTGTATCTCCAAAAATAAAGACATGGACAGAGACCCTAGCTTCTACACTCTCTCCTTGGATTCACACTATGTCTCCTAGAGTAGACACTTGGGCTGAGACTGTTTCAACAGTGACATCATGGACTCAGTCTCTATCTTCAGCATATCCCTTGACAGTGATAGTATCCTCTACAGTCACATGTTGGACTCATTCTGAATTTCCAGGAGTAAATTCATGCACAGATAATGTAATTGATGGAATCATATTTTGGACATTACTAAAAACTGAATCTAAGAAAGAATGGACACTGCCTGAAGCTAGTATATTTACTATTTCATTGCATCCTCCAGTTGATTCTACTGAACCTTTGATTCAAATTGAAAAACCATCTCTTCTAGGGATATATCCTGAAATTAGTAATATACAGACATTGCCTGTATCTGAAATGTTTATATCCTGGATAGTACCTTTTACTCAAGCAGCCATACTCTTGCCCAAACCTGAAGTTGATGTTAGCAGATATTGGTTTAAAACTCAAACAGAAAGAATGAAACACTGGACTCAATCAGAGTATCAAACAGTGAGTACCTTAACCCAGTTTGTTGCTGAAAGAGTTGATTCAATTACCCAATATGAAACGGATCCACTTACATCATGGATTCAAACTAAAACTGGTATATCCCATCCCTGGAGCCAATTTGAAAGAAATACAATGAGAACTTCATTTTTTTCTGACTCTGATGCAGTAAGACCATTGATCCAAACTGATCCTGGTATACTTACCCCATGGATTCATTATAGCAATAGTATAGTCACATCCTGGACCAGGGTTGATTCTAATGCTGTCAGCCTCCAGACACAAACTGAAGTTAATACAGTAACACAATTGACTCAGGCTGACATGAGTGCAGTGAAACACTTGACTATGACTGTCATTAATAATGCCATTCCTTGGTTCCAGAATCAACCTGATACAATTAGACCAAGAACTCAACTTGAATCTCAAATAATTACTAATTTGGTCCGACTAGAATACCAATTTGATCATTCATGGGTCCAACCTGACGCCAAGGCGATCAGACCCTTGGCCTATTTTGAAATTCATGAAACAAAACCATGGCCCCAATCTGAATCTCAAGTAGTCAGTAACTTGACTGAAGTAGATACAGCCACATTTTGGGCCCCAATTCAAAATGATGCAATTGGTCCCTGGTCCCAAACTGAAACTCAAATGACATGTTCTGTGATTCCAAATGAAGTTGGTAAAATAAGCCCTCATATTCAGCCTGAAACTAGTTTAATAACGTCCTGGACAGATATTCAAAGTAGTAAAGTTCAACCATGTATTCCACTTGAAACTGCTATAACCAGACCATGGGCCCAATATGAAACTGTAGAAATCAACCCCTCAATTCAACTTGAAGCTGATGCAGCATTAAGACCTTGGCTCCAGACTCAAATGAATTCAGTCTTTTCTGAATTTGATACACTTATATCATGTTTACAGACTCAAGGTGCTACAACTAGGCCCTGGATTCAACAGTCAGTCAGTCCCTGGACTCAGACTGAAGTTGGTATAATTCTGTCATGTACTCAGCAAAGAGCTTTAACAGATCAAGCATGGATCCATCCTGAATCCCAAGAAATCAAATCCTGGATCAAGTTGGAAGCTGATACAGTCAAATCTTGGTTGCACAGTCAAATGAATAAAGTGGGACCATGGGTCTATTCAAAATCTCAGGTAGTTAGTGCTCCAGTTCAGCCCGAAGAGGGCGTAATTCACCCATGGATCCATTCTGAATTTCAAGCAGATCAACCCTGGACCCACTCTGAAACTGACTTCATTGCATCTGCTGCTCTTCCTAAATCTGACAGTGTCAGTGTAAGGATCAAACCTGAGATACAAATAAGGAATAACACCCACTATGAAGGTGGTATAATTACTTTATTTGGGTCTTGGTCTAAATCTGTGCCTTTTTTACCAAAAGAAACTGTTTCATTGCCAGATGAGTATTTTACGACTATGTCAACTGAGATAGCTGCAACAGAAAGCCAACCTAAACTCCAATATTTTCACTCCAGTGAATTCACTAACAGTTTCCTCCTTACCCTTCCAAGTCTTTGGCTTCCTGAAAGAGTTGATTACTTGAACCATGGCAGTAAATTACAAATCACCAAAACAGAAGGAAGTTCTTATATGGCAACTACTTCACCTAGTCTTCTCTCCCCATCCCTTTCCTTTCTTACTCCATTTTCTCTCCAGTCCTCATATACATTTTCCCCATCTTGTTCAATATTTTCTTGCACATTCTCTTCATCTGGTATTTCCCAATCTTGTTCCATTCATTCTTCCATGGCTTTCTTCTCTCCTACTCTCCTTCCCTTAGCCTCTTCTGTTAGTTTTGTCCAAGAACTAAATTCCTCAAAATTTTCTGAAGAAACTATTCTTTCTCATACTGTTTCATCCTTGTTTGCTGCCCCTGCCACACTTTTAACAAAACAACCTTCTCTGATTCATGGATCTCAATATGAAACCAACTCTAATCACCATGAACAAGATCCTCTCAAGTATTCAGAATTCAATGTTTCCTTGGCTGAGTGTCATCTGGGTGTGGTCTGGAAAGAGAGTTTCCAGGCTTTCTGGCTCTTCAAGACAGCTATTATTTCTCATGAAACCACAGGTAAGTTCATTCTTGTCATCTATGTCAATCACTACCCTTGGGACCAAAGTCTTCCCCAGTGGTGCAGCAGGTTGAGCACAGCGCTGTGAAGCTGTCCACAGCAGCCTCTCTAGTGTCTGTTTGATTCCCAGCCGGCTGGGGAAATTCCCACATGGCGCAGCAGCCCTCTCCTGTCTTGCCTGCTGCTCCCATCAGAAGTGTATTTTCCTTCTGCCTGCTCTGCTCCCTGCTCTGTCTCTGGTGAATTCTCTAACCCTCCCAGGCCTCTGGCTTATACCCCAGCGCTTATATAATAAATGTTTAAAAATAATTCTGAAGTCTTAAGACTTCAGAAACACATTTGGGAAAATGTCATGCAGTGTACAAAATAATTTAAAAAATAATGAATGAAGAAATCAGAAGATAAGTATTCAAACCTTAACTTTCTAAAATTCAGAATACTATCTGGATCAGGTAATTAATCTGAAGGAAAGTACACATATTGAGCAAACATTTTATTTTTAACAAGCATTTGAGCTAGACTTTATAAACACAGTTCCTTTCAGAGGAGAGTACTATAGAAACACTTCTATTGATTAGAAGTGGTTTATTAATATTGATTAATGAAATAGAGAACTCAGTTATTCTGAGTGTATAAATAATCTCCCATATTATATTAACTTTGTAGAGTTATAAACACATATTTACAAGTATTATTCCAAAGTTGAAGTTTCATAGGTATTTTCCTAAAACATAACAACATGTTCGGGCAAAGGGAAATGTTTATATTAACTACTCCCCCCCACCATGTAAATTCCTTCTGCAGAGTGTGGTTTACGCCCTGGCCTTATACCCCACTGTCCAAACTGCTGGGAGGCAGAAGTGGGTGAATTCCCTTGGATGGTTTCTATTCAGCTGTCTTTCTCCCACTTCTGTGCTGGCTCTATATTGAATGAACAGTGGATCCTAACCACAGCTAGATGTGCCAATTTCATGTAAGTCTGAATAATTTCAGAGTAGAGATAGTATAAAATTGTGGAAACCTTGAGATTGTTAATTATTATCTTTTTTAGAAGAAAGTAGTTATTCTTCCTTAGCTTTGTTAATTAAATTTGATACATCTTATTTTGAATAATCACATAAGATTACATAAGTAAGTAATCACGTAAGATAAGTAATCACTTATTTTCTTAGATCAAGACAAAACATTCTCCTGTATCTCATTACATTCTATATGTCTGCAAAGTAGTGCTTTAAATATGAATTTAGGATCCACATCAACAGATTTATAAATTACAAAAAGATAGCCTGTTTTTCTTTAATTTTATATCCAAAATTGGAAATATCCCAGTTTAAATAATATCTAAATCACAGTATTTTAAACATCTTGTATCTAACAATTTATTCATGTCTAGAAGAAAACCAATCAAAATGCTAGACAGTTGGGTTTTTATTTTAACAGTGAGATAAAGTCATTATTATAAATATGGCAAAGAAGACTTAGTGTGGAGGAAGGATTAGCTGTCTAAAATCTCACATCTTTTAAATGAAATATTTCAATTTCTAAATTTCACAATTTATATACTAAGTGTCATAGTTTAAACATTGGAATCTAATGATTTGTTTTAAGTTTGAATTTTTAGTAAGGGTATGAATTTATAGTATTTACTTTCTTATTCCTGAAGATATCCACACGTATTGATTTTATAAGATATCTTGTGTTGGCAACAAATGGAAAAGAGGATAAAAGTAATACTTTAAACACTTAGTTGAAGTTCACCTTGTTCATGCAATTTTTGTGTACTTCTTTTCACATGAAATATATAATAATAACATGTGTGATGAACTTTTCCTTCAGAAAAAACTCAGAAGCCCTGGCCCTGGTCCAAGTGGGGCTTATTGATCTTCAAGATTCTGCTCAAGCTCAAACTGTAGGCATTCACCGTGCTATGCCTTACTTAGGACCCAAGGGACCCCTGGGACCTGGTTTACTCTTTTTGAAGCAGCCATTACATTTTCAACCCTTGGTACTTCCTATATGTCTGGTGGAAAGCATGGAACAAGATGAAAACATCCAACTATATGATTGTTGGTTACCCAGTTGGTCCCTCATGAGAGGTAAGTATGTAAAACCACTGAAATGGGATAAGAATGTCACATTTAGGACTACCATTTTATAATGAGTTGTAGAGATTTGTTATCCTTTTCTTCAGTAATTTTTCTCCCTGTAATCAAGGCTAAAGTTAAAAACAATAAAAAAAAAAAAACTCTTGTTTTCTGTTTTCCGCTAGGAAGTCCTGGAATTCTGCAAAAAAGACACCTAAGCATCCTGCAAGTCAGCACTTGTGCCCAATTTTGGCCCAAACTGAATGAATTTACTTTCTGTGTGGAAGCCAAGAAAGCTATGGGGGAAGCTGGTTGTAAGGTGATAAACCAACAGGGTGTGAAAGGCAGGGATAAAAGGAATATCCTTTAATATACAAAGTTACTTCCTCCCTTCCTTTAAAATATCTATGAACATATTGTTTCTTGTTTGTTGCAGGGTGACCTGGGAGCACCTTTAGTGTGCCATCTACAACAAAAGGACACATGGGTGCAAGTGGGAATTTTAAGTCACTTTGATGAACATTGCACAAAGCCCTATGTCTTCAGTCAAGTGAGCCCTTTCCTTTTCTGGCTCCAGGGAGTTACACGGCCCAGTCATGCACCCTGGTCCCAACAAGGGCCCATGACTACCTCTGCTTCCATCTCCCTTTCAGTTTCTGCCTCTACAAATGCTTCGGCTTTTACCTCCACTCCTGCTTCTATTCGGCCACACTTCATCTCTCTGCCACAGCCTCAGAGTAAGGCTCAAGAAAATGGTAGTGAGGTTGGCAGAGCAGGCAGGGTGCCAAGACAAGGAAAGAAAGAGAAGACAATAATGGAAATAGAAAAGGAGGCAATGTGAAAGAAAGGTCTTCCCCTGAGAAATGCATGAGATTTTTGCCAAGTAATAGGAATCATTTACCTCATAACTTACTAAGGCTTTTCATGTTGCTGTGTCTAACTTTCAAAAATTCCTTGTGCAATGTAGATAACATGATTAGTATAATTACCTTAACTGATTACACTGAGATCCAGAGAGTTAGTTTATTGATCTAGTTCTTAGAAGCACAGAGTCTCTAAACTCTTTTTCTTTTGATAACAAACTTCTTTTACTACTTGTGCCATATAAATATAATGATAGAATTTTAAATTTAATATTGTTATTGGTAGTTCTGTATGTTTATGTACAGAGATTAATGTAGATAAAATGTATAATTGTAGCACGATGCTGTGACTAACCTGTCACATTATCATCAATAGCTATTCCACACTACTTTTCTTCCCCTTTCCTTTGTAAATCTATTTCTTTTTTATTTCTATTTTTTTAATATTTATTTATTGATGTATAGAAGAACTGGGCTATAGGCAAGAGGTGTGGGTGGTGAGAGGACCCACCAGAGACAGAGCAGGGAATAGAACAGGCAGACTGACTGAAATATATTGCTGAGAGGAGCAGCGGGGAGTCAGGAGAGGTCTGCTGTGTCATGTGGGTCACCTCCCTGACTGGGGATTGAACTCATGCTCTAGTGGCTGTGGATAGTTTCATAGTGATGTGTCTTAAACCCTTGTGCCACCAGGGAGGTCCCTCTTTCTTTTCTTTTAATATTTATTTCTTTATGCATACAAAAACTGGAGTATGGACCAGGTATGTGGGGGGTGGGAGAATTCACCAGAGACAGAGTGGGGAGCAGAACAGGCAGACTGACTGAAATAAACTGCTGAGGGAAACAGTGGGCAAGACAGGAGAGGTCTGCTGTGCCATGTGGGATTCTCACAGACTGCTGGGATCAAAACTGCACTGCAGAGGCTTTTAAGTTTATTTATTTATACAAGCACTGGGTACAGTCAGAATCACTGGAATATTAGAGAATTCCCCAGAACCAGAGCAGGAAACAGTGCAGGCAGACAAATGATACACTGCTGAGGGGAGCAGCGGGTGGCAGGAGAGATCTGCGTGCCATGTGGGACCCTCTCCAGTGGCTAGGGTTCAAACTGGTGCTGCAGAGCAATGGGCAGCTTCTCAGCCCAGTGCTCAACCACTGCACCACGGGGGAGGCCCCCTATTTATTTTTTAAAGATTTATTTATTCATGCATACAAGAGCTGAGGTTTGGTCCAGAGATGCTTGGGGTGCAAGGATTCACCAGAGACAGAGTAAGGAACAAAACAGTCATATTGACTGAAATACACTGCTGAGAAGAACAGTGGGAGCAAGGAAAGGTCTGCTGTACCAGAACAGGAAGACTGACTGAATACTGGGCCAGGGATGGAACTTGTGTTACTGTGACTGTGGATAGCTTCATTAACTAATATTTTAAATGTATTAAGTTCATCCTCTCCAATTAAGAGAGAAGTACCTTCTTAATGCCAAAATTTTATTTTTCTAGCATTTGTTTTTTCTTTTTTTTTAAAGGTTAACTTTTTTAAAATATCTATTTATTTGTTTGTTTGTTTGTTAGGACAAGCACTGAGTACAGTCAGAAGTGCGGGAGGGCGAGAGAATTCACCAGAGCCAGAGAAGGGAGTAGAACAGGCAGAAGGACTGAAGTACACTGCTGAGGGGAGCAGTGGGTGTGGCAGGAGTCTGCACGCCATGTGGGACCATCGCCAGTGGCCAGGGATCAAACCGGCGCTGTAGAGGCTGCACCCGCTGCGCCACAGAGAAGGCCCTTGCTAGCATTTTCAAATCAAATTATTTTATTTTCCCTTATTGCCACCCATTTTACTAACTTCTAATAGTTCCTAATACTTTGACTAGAGCTGGTATTATCAATTCTAACTTAGAAAGCTTATAACAACTCTCTATTATAATCTTCCATTTGTAGGGGAATAACAGGAGCACAAAAATATAGAAGGTTTTGTGTTTACAAGCCAGTTTTAATAATGCCTGCAGAGCAGAGCTAGGTGGGGTGATTTTTTTTTTTTTAATGGACTACAGATGACAACTCTGGTAAATCTGCATTTTGTGTTTGTTTGTTTTTTTGTTTTTTCTCAGCTTTGGCAGATCGGATATCTCTGCGATATGCCATGCCTTGGCAGGTCATGATTATCAGCTGTGGCAATCAAATTTGCAGTGGTTCTATTGTCAGCCGTTCTTGGGTTCTCACTGCTGCCCACTGTGTCAGACACATGTGAGTTTTGTTCTGTTGCTTCAAGATGCTACACTGCAGCATCTCTAAATTACTAAATTATTTTTTTGGATAAATTCACTCCTTGTTATGTCACAATCATCTTTCATTTCTATAGTATCTTTGTTTCAGTTTAAGTAAGAATGTGCCTGCTTATTTGGCTAACCGGTACTTTTCTCAGTTGAACTGCCTGTGCACACTGGCTTTATTCATAGGCTTCAGTTTCCCTAGAGGTGATACAGATGAACATTGTGCATGGAGACCAAAAATGTTCATTGAAGAGTCTCATAGCTCAGATTTTTAGTGAATCGATTCTAATTGTTCTTTAATACATATATAGGAATCCTGAAGACACTGCTGTAATATTAGGTCTGAGACACCCTGGAACACCTCTGAGAGTTGTTAAGGTATCAACCATTCTACTGCATGAGAGGTTCCGATTAGTAAGTGGAACAGCAAGAAATGATTTAGCATTACTGCTTCTCCAAGAGGTCCAGACTCCTATTCAGATCTTAGCACCTTTGGGCAATTTGAAGAACTTGAATACGTCAGAATGCTGGCTTGCTGGGCCACGGATTCTTAAACAAGGTTAGTGCTTACTTTGTTAGTGGTCTTAGGACAAATAGGATAGTAAGTCCATTTTTTAAAAAGATTTATTTATTTATTTATATAAGCACTGGGTACAGTCAGAAGCACCCGAGGTTAAGAAAATTCACCAGAGCCAGAAGGGGGAACAGAACAGGTAGACTGACAAAATACATTTCTGAGGGGAGCAGCAGGCAACAGGAGAAGTCTGCCATGCCATGTGGGACTCTCCACGGCCGGCCGGGATCAAACCTGAGCTGCCGAGGCTGTGGGTCAGCTTCACAGCCCAGCGCTCAAACACTGTGCCACCAGGGGAGGCCCAGAAGAAAGTTCTTAACATAAAATGTCAGAGAGTGTCTCCCCGGTGGTACAGAATATTGGGTGCAGCAATATGAGCCTGTCCAGAGCCTCTGCGGTGTGGGTTCGATTCCTGGCCTGCCAGAGAGATTCCCACATGGCTCCTCAGATCTCTGCTGTTGCACCTGCTGCTCCACTCAGCAGTGTATTTCAGTCCTTCTGCCTGTTCTGTTCCCCACTCTGTCTCTGGTGAGTCCTCTCACCCCCCTACTCCTCCTCCTCAGCTCTTGTGGCCTGTACCACAGCTCTTGTATAAAAATAAATAATCTTTAAAAAAAGTGTCAGAGGTAAAGTAAAAGTGATCATAGAGGTCATGGTCCTAACAGTTGGTGTTTCGAAAGAAGATATGCACCCAAACTTTCTATTTTCCATTTATTTTTCTAGGAGAGACAGATGAGAATCCAGAAGTGTTACAGATGCAGGTGATGGGAGCTTCAAGTTGTGCTCACCTCTACCCTGACATAGGCAGTTCCATCATCTGTTTTGTTACTCAAGCAAAAAGCTCTAGTACTAATGTGGTGAGCAGAAACATTTTTTCTTTCTAATTTTAACTGATAGAAATTATTTTTTCCATATCCATAAACACAAACCATCAGTGATAAAATTAGAAAGTGAATTCTTGTTCAGCTAACTATATAATTATTTGACTATAAGAAAATTATTACTAACCTCTGGTTTATAAAATAATGCTTATTTTTCTTTTGTCACTGAATAGCTGGTTTGGTGCTCAAAGAATATATACATTGTATGCAATTCTCATTCTTCTAACTATACTATCCTTGGTTCTCCAAGGTCACCATATGTGATGCATTCATTATTTTTCATTTATAAATGTTTTAAGACTTTTTGATTTTATTTGGAATATCATTTGTGAGAAGGACTTATTGATAATAGCATTGTTATTTATATAGATCTATCTGATACCTACCTCTGTTCTGAATTTTCTATCACTATCCATTTGTAAGCAAAATCACAAAATAATAATTTTAGACAGTGACTTGACTTTACATTTTAAATTTGATTTTACAGGAACCAGTGATTCCAGGCAGTGCTGTTATGTGCAGACCAACATCTGGCAATGGCAGCTGGAGACAGATAGGCCTCACCAGTCTAAAGGCCCTAGCTACAATAGTGAGCCCACATTTCTCCTGGATATTATCCACTTCTGCAAAAGCCGGTCATCCCCTAAACCAGGCTGTCATACCTTGGCTAGAAAAGCCCAAGTCATCCGGTTGTCTTACACAGTCAACAAGTTTGCTATTGTTATCAATAATAGTTATAGCAGTCTTTTGTGACCTAGTGGTTATAGCAAAATAATCAGTTCACACTGGGGGATAAAATAAGATTTAAGACTTTATAACATTCCTAGGTAATGCATAGATGTTCCACCATAAGAAGGTTATGTTTACTCCTTCAAAAACACATGTCTTCAATTAATTAAATGTTGAAAGATTAAAATATGCACATTTTTACATAAAGATGACTTGAGCTTTTGTTTGACATAAGTGAAATCCATTGTAAGTAGAGGAAAATAATCGTGTAGAAATTCAACATTCTAAATATACAAAATTTACAATTTTGCAATCATCCTAGTGGCTACTACACAATATTCTAAACAATCTAAGAATCTGAAATTTCTCCTCTGACACTAAAGAACTTTGCTGATTGAATATGTAAAAATACAAAAAAAAAGAAACAATATCACTGAAAAACACAAAAAAAATTAACATAGATATAAAAATATCTGCTCACCGAGATACCTGTAGTACCAACATGATATTTTTACTGAAGTACAGCATTAACACACAGGTGGGAGGTATCAGTCTTTCAAGATTTTTTCATGTGGGATAGAGGATTTAGGTGTTCAGTCAGAAAGACCCATATAACAATAATGTGGATAATGCCAAGATATTACCACTTACTTTGTAGCAATTATGTACACATATCCTGGATTGTATTAGCCCATCTTCCTCTCACTTTCTTATTGTATAAGTGTGTCCCTTAATTTAAGTACAACTGTGAACATATCTACCCTATGACTTTCCTGACTCTGTCCAAAGGATCATATTGGCAAGTACTAAACCCAGCAAAACCCATGCACAGACACCTCCCACTGCTAACAACAGGAACACTGCCATCACAGATACATTCATCACGTGCCCTGATGGCCCAGATCTTTGTGTCCAGAACCCCTTAGAAGGTGAAAAAAAAACATGAAGCCTCCCCTGGCTGGGTCCCCAGTGCATTCTCAAGTTCCATAGAAGGGATCTGCTATCCCTGCCTCAGCGTGAGGGTGGAACTACATGGGATGGCAAGCTCATTGCAGCACCTTGAACCTCTCTCACTTCGCACCCTTGCAAAAGCACAGTCAGCAGTCCATGGGGTCGCCTGCTTCCATGCCAAGCACAGAGGAGGAGGCACCAACCTCTGCTGGGAAAACAGCGGGGTGCAGACACCTGCCTTTCCAGAGCTCACACAGAGCAGACCAGTCAAGGCCACCAAGGAAGGGAAGCCTGACAGCCAGAGGGAGTGAGGCCCAGCCCCTCTGCAGAGGTGGGGACAGAGAACCAGAGGTGAGGCTGAGGGAGAGACTGACCCTCCCAGGCACCGATGCAGAGAGAGAACCCAGCAAAGCCCTCCTGGACTTGTGGGCCCTGCATCAGTGGCCGTCTACCCAAAGTTAGTTTGGGCACCCAGGCTACTATTCAGCCACATTCCTGACCCGTCCCCCAAGGACAGGTTCCTCAGAGCCTCACCCTCACTCAGAAAGGAGCAGGGCATCCCACAGGTGATTTTAAGAGACTCACTGGCCTTCTTTACTTAGTCTGCCTAACAGCCGCTCAGGGCTTCCCAATCTTGGCACTAGCTCTTGCCTTTCTAAGTTGGCTTTTCCTCTGCCTAGCTGCTGGGCAGTACAAAGGCTGCTTTTGGCCTGCAAGGCCCACTGGCCACCCCTAGATTCCCATCTCCTGGGGTATACAAACAATACCATCCTCCCCCAGGATCCCCAAATAGAACATTACCCTGCCAAAGTTCCTCCACCTTGTGGCGGAATTGTAAGTCCAAATCCATCAGTCTTTCATTGCATCAGCACTGGGTGAGCTCTGAATTGTGGTCCTTTCATCTCCAGCAGTTCTGCTGCTACCGGATTTTGGGCTGGTCCTTGCGGGCCATCTCTCCTCCTCTTGAGATCTTGTCCCGCAGCTCCCAGACCGTGACCACCTCCTGTGCTCCTGCAGCAACTTCAGCTCTTTCAGCAGCTCCTGTACCTTGGTCATCACCTGTGCTGGCATAGCATATCCAGCGTTGTCACAAGCAGACAGAGTCTGCTACTCTTCAGTCCGTTCTGACGTCTTGGGAGGGCTTCATACCGGTCTGCATTTCAGAACATCCTGTCTACTACACCAATTGTAGTGGCACAATGACCACAGAGCAGGTCTTCTGCTGTCAGACGGGACTTGGAGCCCTCGGGGGCTCTCTCAGGCTTTTATTGAGCTTTACATGCATTGCAGCAACCAGGTACACTGCAGGCAGGGGTGGCCAATGGGCCTCCAGGCCCCAGGCAAGTCTGCACTCTGGGGTTCTCTGGCTTCTATCTTGCCTTCTCTCTCATGCCTAGTCCTGCTGCTTCTCCCGCATCTGCTTGTCTTGGTGACTGCCTCTCAATGTTCCTCCCATGGACAACAGAAGTAAACAAGGTAGTTTGCAACAATGTAACAACTGAGGGTGTCACCTCAGGCAGGGAAATCTTGATGAACGGAAGGCAGAAAAGCCTGAAAAACCATTTACCTTACAGTGACCAACAGCACCTCTCAATGCTTGATCAGTGGAGCTCAGTACAAGATCTGGAGGGAAAGTGGGAAAGGTAAGAACAATTTTGGAGTAGAGCTGGGGCCATCATCTCAAACTGCATTGTCCTCTTGATTAAGTGGCATCATTTGTAAACCAATATCACCTGAATCAAAATGAATTAATCACAAGAGAGATTAAGGGCAGTTTCTATTTACTCCAAATTAAATAATACGGACACAAAATTCTCCAACAAGAAGTAACCAAGTAACTTAGAACTTAACCTCACTTCAATGTTCCATTACCACCTCAACACTCAAAACAAAATAACTGAAGTACACTAAATATATTGACCACCAGGGCATTGGGATTGGGAAACCAACAATAACAAAAGAAGTCAGGAAAAATAACACACATAGAGGGCACTGTGGGGCCAGAAGGCAAAAGCTGATATCCGCAAGGCTGGCAGGCGTGAGCTTGCGGTTGCTTCACACCTTTTGGTGACTAGGGAAGTGAGGAGGTATAGTTAGGCAGTGGAAAAGCACCCCAGATTCTGCCGAGCTCTGAAGAACAGTGGAGAGTCCCTGGGAGCCCTGTAGAAAGGGCACTTATGCCCTCAGTAACCTGCTCCTCCCTAGCACCTGATCCTCCCTAGCACCCCTCCTGCTGTCAGGAGTCTCTCTGGCAACCAACCTGAGCTTGTTAATATTTAGCAGGTGTGTCGGTGATTATTCCTCCATCAGTAGAACACAAGAACTCAGCCCACCAGCAATGACATCAGGTTGAGAAGGTCTGAAAGGGCAGTGCTGACCTAAACTTAACTTGTGACACCCTCACCTAATTATTCCACCTATGCCCTCATTGCCACGTTACCTTGTAGATCCCACTGCCTCCTTTCCTTTCCTTCCTCTGGTGTGCAGGAGGGGTGAGAGGATCCACCAGAGACAGAGTGGGAAACACAACAGGCAGACTGACTGAAATACACTGCTGAGGGGAGCTGTGGGCGAGATAAGAGAGGCTGGCTGCATCACAGTGAGAGCCACCTGGCAGGCTCGGGGTCTACCTCCGGCTGTAGAGGTCACAGACAGCTTCATAGTGTTGTGCTCAACCCTCTGTGCCAACAGGAAGGCTCTACTTCTCATTTCCTGTCTCTTTCTATAAAAGCTCTCTAATTTTCATCTTCCCTTAGGCCACATTTTATGATGTCATGAAAAGTGTAAACCAGATTAGAGTTGTCTGCTATTATAAGTGAAGGAAAAAAAAAAAAAAGCACTTGACCTGCTTAAATTCAGTGCTCCTCTCTTACAAAGGGATCGGTGAAGGGCTAAACCCATCATGCAACATTCTGGGGTGGCAGCGGCCTTGGCCTTGGAGAGATGGCTTGAGCCGCTGGGGCTGCTGTCCCCACAGAAAGACGCTCAGTGCCCACCCTGCCTCGCACCCCACCTCCCCCAGGACACAGGGAAGGCAGATATGACGTGCCAGCCTGTCTTGGTCTTCGGGCTGGATTGGAAGCCTGGCAGCTCCTGGGTGTGCCCGCCCCTGGGATCTCTGGTGAGGGACAAAGGCAAACTGTGCCCCTTGAGTGACCCGGCCAGCCAGCTGAAAACATGGAGTGCCCCTGGCTGGGTCCCAGGGGCTTTCTCAAGTTCACAGAAAGGACCCTCTGCCCCCACCTCAGTGCTTTGAGGACAGATGTGACAAGGAGTAAATGCCTGAGCAGAGGATGGAAAGGTGGGAGGGAAAGCTCGTGGCAGGGCCGTGGCTGGGGTCCTGCACAATGCTGGCAGGCCAACAAGGGTTGCTGTTCGCTGCAGGGGTGGGGGTGGCGCTCGGGGTGGCATCCCCTAGCGGCCCAGCGGCACTGGAGGCCGGCCCCGGCCTGCCCAGCGAGGCCCGTGGCTGACGGGCCCCCGGGGGACGGCGCTCAGGAGCAGGCCGCCATCTTCGGGCAGGCGGGTGGGCGGGCAGCTGAGGCCGGGCCCCAGGGTGCGCAGGCGGGTAGCGGCGAGGGCTTGCTGCTGGTGCCGGGGACGCCTTGGAGGTGGTGGCTGAGGAAGAGGTGACCCTGGACAGCGACGGCGAGGACGAAGACCCGGGCGAGGGCGCAGGCCTGGCGCTGGCAGCGGCCGTGGCCAGCGGGGGCGGGCAGCCAGGGCCCGCTCCCGCGGTCACCGCCCCATCGGTCCTGGAGGCGCTGCAGGCGCTTCAGTTAGAGCTGGAGCCAGTCAACAGGCAAGCCAGCCGGGCCTACTGCAGGCTGAAGCTCAGGATGCGCCAGCGGCGCCAGCCCCATCTGGATCGCCGAGGCACCATTATTCAGGGCGTGCGTGGCTTCTGGGCCAAGGCCGTATCCTTGCTGCTGCCGCTTCCCCTTCCCCTGGCAGGGCCACAGTGTGGCTGGGCTGCGAAAAGGCTCCGCGGGGCGGGGCGGGGCTTGGCGGGGGAGGGCCCGGCTGGGGGAGCGGGCAGGTGGGACACCGCGCAGGCCGCACAGCAGGCCTCTTGGACCGAAGGCCGCGGGCGGGCGTGAGCACACTCGTAGCTGGCCGGCCCGCAGGCCTTGGGGGACGGCCTGGATCTGCCCCCTGGCGATCCCGCGGGATGCTCAGCCTTGGGGTGGGGTGGGGGTGGGGGTCCGGCGGCGCAGGAGGGACTCGGTGGGGGCAC